GAAATATACCAGTACTATTTTAAGAAGCTTTGTACTTCATCATAGACAAGTTCTTCCCTCCCCTCAATGAAAATGAGGACATTTGAGAAGTGATTTAAGGTGTGGACATTTGAGAAGGTGTCCCATCAAATCAGTGAACCAAAGGATAAGTACTGAATAGATTAATCCAAAGCACTATTTTTTAAACCAGGAGGATTTCATCTTGACAGAAAGGCAACTTTTATTCAATATGTATTTTTCTGGGGTTAAGAAAGACAAGAATAGACTTAAAATAGATGAAGATGTTTAGCAAATAAGCAAGTCAACTCTATTCTGATTAGGATAACTAAGTAATGTTAAATACAAACCTGTGGTTGTGGTCCTAGAAATAAGATACCTTTTTGATGGAACTGGTATTAAAAGAAGTAGCACCTTTTGTGCATTCAACTCTGTGGTAAAACTTGTAATCATCGGCATGAGTGGCTTAGAAGAGGAAATAAAGAAGCTCTCAACTAAATCCAAAAGTGTAGTCATTATTTTTTTTGCTGTTATTTTAAAAACCTCTTCATAATCACTTTTAAAGAGTTGACAACTGTTTTAAAAGATTAAAGAAAGGCAGATGTCTGCAAATAATTCCCCTCCATCAGCCCAGAAGTCTGTATTACCTGCAGCTATTCCCGCTGTGCTTCCAACTGCTTCTCCGTGTTCAAGTCCTAAGACAGGACTCTCTGCCCGACTCTCTAATGGAAGCTTCAGTGCACCGTCACTCACCAACTCCAGAGGCTCAGTGCATACAGTTTCATTTCTACTGCAGATTGGCCTCACACGGGAGAGTGTTACCATTGAAGCCCAGGAACTGTCTTTATCTGCTGTCAAAGATCTTGTGTGCTCCATTGTTTATCAAAAGGTACTGTGCATGCTATTCATGTCAATAGTTTTTCTAGATAATGTTACTATTGCTTCTCAGTAAGTTATACATGCAAGAAATGAGTTAACACATACGGATCCAACAATTCTGAGCATTTTTGGAAGGGTCCTAATAGACTATGAGCCGAAAGTCTGGAATATCAGTCTAACTAATTGGAACCTATATCCCAGATTTAAAAGACCACTATTCTTTTGTCTCTTAAGAACAGGAAAATCTGTACAAAGTCAAGGAGACATAGGAAATCTCATTTGTTTTCAGAGAAAACAGGAGGTAAAAAGCACAAGGCATTGAGGTGGCATGGGGGCATACCAGCAGCCAAGTCCCAGCTTCCCAGGTCCACACCTTCTTTTTTCTGCATGCTCTGTGTTTTGCCCTCTGTGTTTTGTTTTGTTTTGTTTTACCCTTTTCCTTGTCTTTAGAGCCTGATTATTTTTCAGATAACCTATTAATAAAAGATTTCAAACACAGGTCTGTCGTAACTTAAGAGCTTATACACTCTTCATTGCACCCATGCTGCCTTCCCTGTGCCAGTGAAAAGTTTCACACTTGATTTTTCTAAGAGTGGACAGGGTATTTACACAGCAAAAGGAGATGCTCAAGTCTATTTTGGAAAGCTTAAATATGGCAGCTGAGTGTGAGATAAAGTAGGGAGATCAGACAGGAGGCTATTACAATGAAGACCTGAACTTAGGCAGTTGGAAAGTGATGGTATATTTGAAGGATATTGGAAAAGTACAGTTGGTAAAACTTGATACCCTGTTGAATATAAAGGAAGAGCAAAGGGTGAAAGACAGCCAGCCTGAGTGATTGGGTGGGTGGCAGTGCTGGTGACCAAGATAGAAAAACCAGAAGGAAAAGTAAGGCTTTTTCTGGTGAAGATAATGTGATTGACTTATATTAAACTTTAATAAAATAGAGGTCCTGTGTTCTGGAGATTTAAGAGGGTCAAAGAAGTGTTCTTTCACTTAGATTTTGCATAAGGATGTACGTTGGGGCTCTTGTGTTTTGCTTGACTCTTGTAATGGAATCATTATTCCTTAAGATGAACCCTCCCGATTCTTTCTCTGGTATCTTATGCTCTTGTTGAGTACAGTGTTCTGGAAATGTCAGTTAGGTCAGTTGGTCGATAGTGTTAAGATCTTCTATGTCTTTACTGATTTCTTTCTACATGTTCTATCATTTATGGAGAAAAGAGTATTGAAATCTCTCAACAATGATTCTAGATTTTTTGATTTCTTTCAGTTTTATCAAATTTTGCTTCATATTTTTTGAAGCTCTGTTATTATTTGCAAGTACATTTAGGATTGTGTATAGCCTTTGATGTAGTGATCCCTTCTTCAATGTAACTTTTCTTCTTTATCTTCTTTATCTTCTCTGGTAATACCTTGTTTTGAAGTTCATAGATGCTCCTAGACGTACAATGGGTTTATGTCCTGGTAAGCCCATGGTTAAGTTGAAAATATCATAAGTCAAAAGTGCATTTTAACTTACGATATTTTCAATTTACAATGGGTTTATTCAAACATAACCCATTGTAAGCTCAGTGTACTGAATGTGTATCACTTTTATACCACTGTAAAGTCAGAAAATCATAAGTCAAAAATCATAAGCCAGGCACTATTTGTACTTTAGTAGTAACATAATTATTCCTGCTTTTTAAAAAAGAAAATTAGTGTTTGCATTGCAATATCTTTTCACATGCTTTACTTAAACCTTTCTGTGTCTTCATATGTAAAGTAGGATTTTTGTAGACTACATATAGTTGGGTCACGCTTTCAGTCTGTCAGCTTTTGCTTTTCAAGTGTTTAGACCATTTATATTTAATATAATTTCCAACATATATGCATTTAAATATATTTTTTGCTATTTTCTGTTTGTCCCTTTTGTTCCCAGGTCCTGTTTTTCTTTCTTTTCTGCCTTCTTTTGAATTGAGTGTGTCATATAATTCTATTTTATCTCCACTGCTGGTTTTTTACACTCTTTAAAAATTTCGTTTAGCAATTACTCTAATGCAGGGGTCAGCAGTCTATATCCATAGGCCAAGTCTGGCCCACCACCTGTTTTTGTAAATAGAGTTTTATTGGAACACAGCATGCTTATTCATTTATATCTTGTCTATGGCTGCTTTCATTACAGCAGCAGAGCTGAATAGCTGTGGCAGAGACCATATGGCCCACCAAGCCTGAAATATTACTATCTGGCCTTTTATAGAAAATGTTTGCAGACCCCTGCATCTTTAACTTATAGAGCATCTTCAAACAATTTCATACCACTTTATGTATAATGTAAGGTATGCCTTAAAATGGCCTTAAAATGGTGTATTTCTGTTTTCTTCCTATTGTCATTTGTGCTATGTTGTCATACGTTTTATTTCTACATATAGTCAATTCTCATTATTTACAGTAGTTGTGTTCTGTAAAGTCACTGTGAACACTGAATCGGCAAATAGTGCACCATTGCTCCTAGTGGGAATGCAGGATTAGGTTTCTACAAGCCTCTGATCACAACATTTTTATCAGCCAATAAATACATACCCTGGTTTTATGTGTATTTCTGTTTAAAGACACCTTATTTAACATATATGGTTGATTCATTAACATTGTACTCACAACCAGCAGCCCTATAACTCATGCCTGAATGAAGCTTATTTAACACACTTATTTACTCCATAAGGCACATCACAGACTTCTTGCACTTAGGAACACTAGACAGTGCTTCAGAAGCACATGCTTGGGAGCCATTTTAGAGGAATCACTAACAAAAAACAGAAAATGTGGCACTTAATAGACCATGAAAAGGACACTTATTTACACTGTAAGAACTGAAACAAGATTTTCATTGGAAGTATGCATAACAGTGCAATGGAAAAGCTGTATTTGCCTCTGAGTTGTGCCATGACAACTAATATATTGTTTTAAGATTTTTTCAATCCCAGCCTGCTCTTGGAAATAGGTTGAAGGAGTGTGAACCAAGCTCCTTGTCAAATTTTTCCATGATTCAGTAATTTTTTATAAAATAATAACTTGATTACAATCAAATGAACAAGTTAATACATATACTTGGACAAATGCAGACTTTATTTTAATGTTTTTGTCTATTTTTTCCTTTAAAAATCTTATCCAATCTACTTTTAAATAGCCCACAAGGGGATTTTCTGATTACCCTATCATTGAACATTTCCTGATGACCAGCTTTTTAAAAATTAGAAGCAAAATATTCAAAGTTTATTTTGTCATATTCATGAAAAAAATGGCTTAATTTTCAAAAATCTTTTACCACAGGCCACGTGTTGTAAAGGATCAGGATTCTTAAATATTTATAAATTCCATGCCTGTGGTTGCAAGGTTGTGTGCAACTTAAATATGACTTGATTTGTAACAGTGGTTTGCAAACCAGGCTGCACCAGAGAAAAACCTAGGAGCTTCAACAGGTCCTTCCCTGACCTGCATATTAGGTCAGGATCTCTGGGAAGGGAGAGTCTTTTTTAAGAGCTCCATCTATGATTCTAATGAGCAGCCAGAATTTAGACCCTCTATTCTAATGGAAATCAGTAAGCTTAAGGATCGGGTAAATAATAATCTGAAGATATGTTTTTTCAAATACTTAAATTTTATATTTTGTTGTATAACATACCATCTCATTATTTTTCACATACTGATAGTATAATAATGTATTTTATAATAACAATCCTATAATTCAAAATTTCAGTGAGGCCTGCATATGATTGATTATAGGTTACTATGCTAGTTGAAAATTCTATTAATCGATAGGAAATAAATGCTAGTGATTTTTTTTTCTACTTGGCAGTTTGCAGAGAGCTAAATAGTGTGATACAGTTGTACCTTAGTGGGGTGCCATTATCTGTTATGGCTTTGCTTCATTTGAACAAATATTTACGATACACTTACTCTTTTCAGTAACAGTGCCAGATAACTGTGGAGGCTCCCAAGATGAAAGAAAGATAAATTCCCTGTCCCTGTGTTTTATGCTCTAGAAAGGGAGAAGATGACCAAATGTCAAATGACTGTAATACAAGGTAGATTATGATAAGTCCTGAAATAAAGGTATAAAATGGTAAAATGAATCAAAGGAAGGAGAACTACCAGTTTGTTGGGGGAGTTATGAAAACTTAGGTTTTAAACCATACTTTTTGCTTTTGACATCACCAACTGTAGTACTTCACCTGAGGAAATAAACCCCGGCCACTGGTACAATGCCTTGCTACTACTTTCTGATATCTTGTAACACAGATAATACAAGATGCCTTTAACATCCTCAGTAGTCAACGAGAGAGCAGAAACCAGTCTATTTATGCACATATGAACTCTTTCTTGTGCATGGTCAAATGAATAAAGTTGTGATTCTCCTTCCTAGTAAGTACTCTAGATCTAGTTATTCAAGAAATTCATGGTGATCTCTGCCTTTCTCACTCTTGCAATTAACTGCACAAACATTTATAGTTAGTAGCAATGAGCAGGCGACAGAAATATGTGATTGCTTATGTAAGGTATTATTGCAGGTTTACTTGCAAAATATGCTGATAATTCACAATGGCATATCTCTGGTCCAGATTCCTTTTCTAAGCTTAAAACATGCCACATTATGTCTTATTAATTAGCCCTTGTGCCTGCTATTTCTCTGCTTGTAACACCCTTTCTCTGCCACATCCAATTCTTAGACCTCTAGCAAGTCTTTTTCTGTGTAGGTGCTAGCATGCTGTTCAGCCTATTGTAGTGTAATATTTCATCATGCTGATTGCAATTGTCCATTTACTTGAATGTATCTACCATAAAACTGTAAGTTCTGGCCAGGCGCGGTGGCTCACACCTGTAATCCTAGCTCTCTGGGAGGCCAAGGAGGGTGGATTGTTTGAGCTCAGGAGTTCGAGACCAGCCTGAGCAAGAGCGAGACCCCGCCTCTACTAAAAATTAGAAAGAAATTAATCAGACAACTAAAAATATATAGAAAAAATTAGCCGG